TGAAGATGGAGGCGGCGGCGTGGAAGATGTGCAGTAGTGACGAGGGAGATGGGAGGCCACGTTGGAGGAGAAGGATTTACCGATATACTCTAATTATATACGAGCATTTTTGAATTTTCAGTTGGGAGGAGTCTCTTTTTGCCATTGTTTCTACAAATTATAAGTGTGAATATTATTAGGGGTTAAACGGTGATTAAAAAAATGTTGGTGTCTCTTGGTGCATAAGCTTATTGTATTTTATGTTTACTTTGTTGTACATTGTTAACATGCTCGCTGCTTCAACGTTATATCCTAACGGAGGAAAGTCGTCCGCTCTTTTTGCTCTACTCTATTTCATTTATTTCGTTGAAACCTCCGACCCTTTCAGCTCCTCTCTTCCGTTTTAGCCGCTCACCATTCTTGGTGTAATGACTTCCCCACCCCACGTACTGCTGCTTCGGTGGTATTGCTGGTTGATTTTTGGAAGGTTGGCTCGCTACTCTGGAAAGGTTGTGGAGGACGCTCATGAAGTGGGCGAATGAATCTTGACATCTATGACGGATTGTGATGGTCTGATGAATCCTACCTCACTGAATGCAGATGCTTGCCAAAAATGTCCTTTTTCTTCTATGGGTCTGGATTTCGATAGTGAATCTGAAGTCGATGGTGTGCGTGGATCTCTCTTAAGATTCAGAGGACCTTCACCCAATGATTTAAGGTTAGTCTGTATCTCAGCTCTCTTTGTGTCTCTTTTCCTCCATTTCTATGCTTGGACTGGCATGTGTCTTCTGTAACTAGCTAGACTCTTAAAAGAGCATCCTCTGCTCTTTCATCTCTACTCTATTTCATCTATTTCGTTGAAACCCCTTACATACACAATCTCTCATTTATTCCGTGAAAGAGTCTAGCAATTTCTATTGTGTGTTCCCGCTTGCCCAATTTCTATAAATAGAGAGTATGCACGCTTCAACCTTTCTAAGATAAGCTAATCTTATTCCTGTATGGAAGCTGTTGGAGCTTGTGTAGTTCAAATTGAAGGATGTGATTTCTAGAGAACCCATATCAAGGATTGACGGTCGGGCGCAGGGAGGGAGTCACCTACCTGCAAATAAGGATGTGCCCTCCTCTCCCATTGACCGAAAAGGATGGACGCCGGAAACATTTCTGATGAGAGTGGGAGTTTTAGAAGTAGCTACATGACGAAGGGCACCGTCCATAACTGCGTCCACAGCCACATTCGCAGATTCAGATTCCATTTGGAATGATTCTTTTGAGTGCGGTGAAGAGACTGATGATGATGACCAAGATGCTAAGATGGTTAGTAATTTTGATACACCTTACACTCAAGGAGCAATATCCTTTGATAAAGGATATTTGTTTCACACAAGGAAGAATACAAAGCAAATTTGACAACTACTTTGGAAGATGATAAAAGTGGTCAGCAATTTTGTATGCTACAGGTGAATTTTTATGTATCATCTTCTTCAATGATGATCAATAGACTTCCTCTACATTATACTCAAAACATAATACCACTACTTGATGTGTTTCTGTTATTTTGGCATTTTAATAAGGTAAAAAACACTAATAATGGTTACCTTTCATGACAGTACTCCAATCCAATAAAGAAACATAAGTCACACACAAGAACGTGTATGAGAAGGTCGGAGCATTTTACACCTTCATTGGACGTTTGGTGGTCATTTTTTTATTTTGATGGTGGCGTTTATAAATGAAAACAATATAGTGTAGCTAATTTCTTGGCTAAATGTCCTAAAGATGATCATTTTCTTTTCTTTTCTTTTTTCATATCTTTTTTTTCCCGCACACACGCGCGATAGCACAAAGTTAGGCTACAAGCAAAATAATCCCGCCCAAAATCCAATGTTTTAAGTGATAGTGGTACTTTTAATGGGTAGCAGATTATAAGGCCATTTTCTAATTTTGACAGCACTTGAATTTTGTCAGATATGTTTCTGTATAGACTATTTTCGTTTGTATATAGACAAAATTGCATGTATGGTTGATTATTCTAGAGAGGCATATTTTATCATAATTTCTTGATTCAATTTAGTTAAGAAAATATGAGTTGGACGGAAATAATTATCACACTTCAGTTATCAAAACAATGCCTGATCTAGTCCTCTGTATGTAGATTTTTTATTTTTCTATTTAGCTGCAAATGATCATTTGTTATTTACTTTCTATACATTTGAATGTCGTATACTCTTTTGTTTCTAACATCTCCTTTTGTTTTAGTTGATAGTGGTACTTTTACTAGGTAGCATATTATAAGGCCATTTTCTAATTTTGACAACACTTGATTTCTGCCAGATATGTTTCTCTACATACTATCTTCATTTATTTATAGACAAAATTTTACATGTCTGATTTTGATACTGTATTCCAAAGAGGCATATTTTATCAGAATTTATTGATTCTATTGAGTTAAAAAAATAATAGTTGGATGGAAATTATCACGCTTCAGTTATCGAAACAAGGCTTGATCTAATCCTCTTTATGTTGGTTTTGACGTTTCTATTTTGGTGCAAATAAACATTTGTTTTTTACGGAGTAGTTTCTATACATTTGAATCTCATATGTTGTTTTGTCTCTAACATCTCCTTTTTTATTTAGATTTTTAGAGTTTTAATGATTTAGATATTGCCATTGTGTGCAGGAAGTGTCTCTTCATGAAACCATGGTATCCATCTCCATATTTGATCTACATAATGCATCTTTTGTTGCTTGGACAACAACTCTGTGAACACTCCTCATCATCAACCTAAGCCGTGCATGGTAGATCAATGAAAACAGGAAGCTAAGTCTAATAACCACACATTAGCTTAGATTCTTCGGTCTACCAAGAGGAACTGATATTAACTAAAAAATCAAATTTGAAACCCATTCATTTACAACAACCAATAACATCACTCTTATTCTTTTTGTAAAAAATGAAAAGTACTCCATATATAACCTAATGTTAGTATTAAGTACGAGTATAAAAACTGGGCACTAATTTAGTCACGCAACGCGCATAAACAATCTTCAGCAGGAAGTAAGAACTCCGCCAACAATAGTTGCCGAAGGTGATTTTGATTTTTCAAATATAGTTGTTTGAAGCTTGTCATGATTTTTTAAAACTGGCAGTTGCTATTAAATAGTCATTAAAGAGTTAGTGCTGTTAATTTTTGAAAAAGAAATGTCAAGTAGATCTTTCTATTATTTTCATTTCATCACTTAAGTTCTTTTATTAAAAATTATCATATAAGTGCGTTTACTTTTTAAATGCAATCAATCAAGCCACTTTGACTTGTTATAGCAGGTTATAAAAAAATAAATTAAGAGTATTGGTAAATATTATAAAAAATCATATAAATTTGAAATATAATATAACAATAATATAAAAAATAGTATAAACGTAAAAATAGATAAATAATTCTAAAATGTTAAATGAAATAAACAAATATTGTATTGAAAATTGAATAGATAAATAATTCTAAAATGTTAAATGAAAAATAAACAAACATTGTATTGAAAAGTGAATACTTTAATGTTTATACTTCCTAATCAATAGATAACAAACTACATATTCAAATATTGTATTCATATTACTCATAAATTCGCTCAACCTAAACCGAGGAATTAATGTCCTACAATGATCTTCGACATTACCACAAACGCGCAATGCGCGTTACTAAACTAGTTTATTTAATAAACGGAATGGAACCGATGGAAATTTATACTCCCAAAATCGTACAAAGTAAGGGAAATTCGTGTATGAGATTATACATGAAAATGATATGAATGTGAGCGGAGGGACAAAAACGGGAAAGAGTATGAGACACAAATACACCACAATGACTTACTCATCGATCAATAATACCCAATAGACTTAGAAAGAGCCCAAGAATATCCACGTATAGACAAACCACGCCCATCATGTAATCATCATAATTAAACTTATCGATGATACTATAAGTATCATATATGATATAGCCACTATATAACACCACCAAAAAAGCCCCAAAAAGCGCGTGTCCGATCTTCCCTAGAGGCCAAAATATCTGCAGAATTATTAAGAAAATTAATAAAAGTGATAAATACCTTTAATTATTAAATTAGTTGGGTGATTCAAAATAAAGTTCTGATCCATCAATATAATGTAAACGAGTTTTACATATATAACCTGAATAAAGGTACACAATAGTGCGATCACAAGAAGAGAGAATAAAAATGGCTGAAGAAACGAGAAATCGGCATGTTTCCTCAATGTTGCCCAAAATGTATACAAAGTAAGAAAGATCGTCACAGCTGCGGTTAGGATTGCACATTCCAACGCTAATTTCCCTGTTTGTTTGTACGATATATAGTTTTAATTGAATTAGAACCCAACAAATTTATTTATTGACTTTTAAAGCAAAATAGAACTTAATTATCCAAGTACGTATAGATCCCGTTTGGTAATCATGTTTTTCACCTTATCAGATTTATCAACCAGCTTTTTCACTAAACACGTAGAGGCCGTTTGGACGGTTTGGTATCAACCAGATTTATCAACCTTATTTATTGACCTTTTTCACTAAACACGTAGAGCCCCAAAAAGCGCGTGTCCGATCAAAAGCGTGTTGAAGTACGGACGTGTCAGAAATTGAAGACAACATCAATTTGCGATGGGGCACAAGCGAGACCATGACAGGGAAAATTTGAAAGTTAGCGACGGTTTCGTCACTAAACGTCACTAATTTGTGACGTCGAAATTCGTCGCTAATTATCTGATATTAGTGTAATTTTAGTTTGTATGTTTGTACTTTTATTGAGTTTATTGTTTGTTGTTGTAGAAACTACCACTACTAAAATTTTTGTCATTTGAGGCAACCCATTTTACTGCGATTATATGTGTTCCGCAACAATTAATTGGAAAACCGCAGCAAAATGTATTTATTAAAATTAATTTTGATTGTATTTGCTGCTGTCATGTGGGAGTTGGGAACAGCAGCAATAACTTTAAAAAATAAAAAATAGCTGATAGCTTAGCTCCAAAGTCCAAACCCTTTGCATTCCTGGCCTTGGCGGCAGATAGTTCGAAAAAAATCGCAGAGCTCAAGACTTGCGCAGCAGATCCGCCGTCCCTCCTCCATCAGCTGCGTCCAGTTCCACACGCCTCCTTCGACATCTTGCCCCCTCTTCCACCTGCCTGCCGCCTCTTCCACCTGCCTGCCGCCTCCTCCGCCCTCTCAGCAGCGCACGGAACAGCAACGCCGCAGGCCGCTGCAGGCCGCTGCAGTCCGCACTCCGACGTCCCTACCAGTACAATGTTGTAAAAAAGCCTCCTCCTCCGCCATATTTGCTTAATAGAGGTTTGATTTCAAACCTTTGGTCATGTAATTTAATTTATTGAATTTTATCTATTTTTAGATTAATATTAGTATGAATTTAACCGTAGAAATGGTGTCTATGATTATTTATTTATATGAGCATGATGAGTATATATTTTTCAAGTAATTATTCGGAAATCATAGCTAATTTAGCTGCCTGCTTTGCTTTGCCTCATTGCTTGGACTACGTACTCTATGAATGAATGGTGCCCTCTTCTTCTTTTGCAATGGAATGTTATAATGATATGTCACTGATATGTTAGAATGATATGCCACTGATTTTTGTTTTATTATATGATTTTAATGATAAATTCTATCATACTTTTTACGGATTAATGGAACTTTTAGTGCAGTTTTAGTGCAGTTTTAAAAGTGTACTAATAATACTAGTATAGTTATTATTTTTCGGATGGATTAATTTTGTTCTGTAAAGGACTGCAGAAGGATAGGAGCATAGAAGCATTAAAACTGGTATTCTCAATTATTATATATACTTGTTGTTGGAAGTACAATACATGCCACGTTTGTCTGTTGCCTTTTGTTAAGCATTAAAACTGGGATTCTCAATTTTGTCTTTTCTCAAAACGTAGAGTAAATAAATGAAACAATTGAATAGTTTCAGTTTGATTAGTCAACTCAGTTGTTTACTGAATATGGAATATAACAAATCTTAAAACCGTCTTAAATTGGTTTTCTTCAGTTTGGGTACAATTGATTTGATTTTACGGTGGTGGATTTTAACTTAATATAGAGTGCAATGTATCATTTGATCGACACTATGATAATAAAAAATGACTCTCTTTGTGCAAATTGACTAATATGATTTTACAAAAAAAAATTGTTTTATTTGTAAAGATGAGTCGAAGCTGGATGTACGATAAACGAAACACATTGGAATTTATGAATGGGGTGGCTGAGTTTTGTAATTGTTGTTTAGAATATAGGGCATTGACCGGTTGTGATGAGTTATATTGTCCTTGTGTAGATTGTGCCAACGTAAATTCATTCCGATCAATTGTTTGAGGTGGGTGGTGGCACAACATTGTTTGAGGTGGGTGGTGGCACATCATTTCCTTCTGGAACTGGAGTAAGTTGTCATCACATGCCAATTATGGAAGGCCACTTAAAGGTGAGCGTACACAACATTTTGAACGAGTATGTGGGTGCCACACTTCCTGTACCTGTTCCCACTGTGAATCTTTTTACCATAGGTGATGCCCAAGGTAGTTTTGTTCAATGGCTGGTTTATTGGGTGAAATTTGTAAGTGAGGTAATTATATGAAAGTATATATATTTTAAAGTATGCGTGTGTGTATAAGTGTCTTTACTTATTTATGAGTTTCTTCACATATTGAATGTATTTATGTGATATTTATTTATTAGTTAGAAATGATATGTAGGTCACGGGTAATAAACCTTCAAAGGGAAAGAAGAAATTGGATATCCGTAAAAAACCGGTCAAATGATCTCTAGTGTCTGATGGTGTGTTGTCACTCAGTAAAGATTGCAAGTGGTTGCACTCGATTATAGCATTTCGGACTAGCGACGGTCCCTTTGTAATTACTTTAGATGCTCGCGTGTTCCATTATAAATCAAGTGATGGTGATGTGTATCTTAACAACGAGGACATCTCTCAATTTCTGTAAGGTGCAATGCTTAATATATCCATTATTCAAGTATTTATCAGGTAAAATATAATAACTGTATTATTTATTACTACCTCCGTCCCCCTGTTATTGTCCCATTGCGGTTTACGATGCTTGACCGATAATAAACCAAATAGATCCCTGTCTGCATTCAAATTATTTTTAGAAAAAAATTACATATTCAGAAACTACATTAAAAGCTTTACAAAGTCGCAAAAACCAGAATCAAATTTGATAAAAATTTGATATATAAAGTAAGAGATTAAGAGTGATTTGTGTTGACCAAGTGAACAGGAAATGGGACAATAACAGGGGGACGGAGGGACTATATTACTATGGTGTTCAATTTTCATTATATATTAAATTGATTTTTTTTATAGAGCAATGCATGAGTATACTAAGGGTTTGAATACAAATGCGCAACTTGGATGGATGTGTCCTGATGCAATTTGTGCAACTTCATGTGACCATAATCGAGAAGATGTGAGAGAGTACATACGCCGAGCCATCATTGAATCTCGCAATTCTGGCGTAGATATTATTCTTGCTCCTTATTACGAAAAGTATGCATTCATACCTACTTATATTAATTTCATTTATCATAGTTATTAACATTGTTTTCCATCATTTGCAATGGAGCCAAAGATTCCTTATTTTTTGGCTTGAGATTATGATGGAATAAAGCAAAATGGCTCACTAAACTGTCTGCGCTTCTTTGTTATGGAGCAGCAGTCAGTCCATGCAATTATGGACGCGATTTTCACTATGTGTCATCCGGAAACAGTCTCTCTGTGCTTTAGTACAGGGGTAAGATTGCGTACATCTGACCCCCCCTTACCCCACCGTAGGTGGAAGCTTTTGCGGCACTGGGGTAAATGAAAATGATGAAATGATAGTTATTAACATTAACAATATATATATATATATATATATATATTTATGTTTATGTGTTTATTACATAATGTGCATCACAAATTACTCGTGTAGTTATCATTGGGTATTGCTTGTGGTATGGGTCTCACATGGCATGATCTTTATGTATGATTCGCTTCGCACTAGCCAAATGCGCCGCTTATTAATTATGTCATTGTTTAGCAGGTTAGGTTATTGTTTAGATACATCAAAATTGTATTCACATTATTTTATAATTGTTTTGCTTTAATTTTGAATGTTTTCGTTATAGTGTTTTTCGAAATATGTGCGGTGATGGTGAAAATAAGCAAAAAGTGATTTGGAAGCAAGTGAAGGTATTAATTAGTATATATGTACTTTGAGTCATCTATTAAGTATTGTGTTAAATTTGTATATTTCTAGTGCGTACTTAAATAGTTTGAATTGTTGAAACTATGTCTTTCCATGTGCATCTTTATGTTTCAGTGTGCGAAACAAACAGGTGGATAAGTGGATTGGAGTGTGGATATTATGTCATTCGATTCATGTACGATGTGGTAAAGTGTAGTGGTAATGGTCAAAATATGGAGCAGGTACATTTTAATAATTCTACTATGTTTTTGTATCACTATTAGAATTTTTCTTATTTGGTGCTACCCAATTGCTGTGGTTCTTAGTTAAAACGCAGCAAATAGGCAAAATTTAAGTATTTGCTGCCGTTCTACTACGACCGCAACAAAAAGTTGAAATTTTTTATACTTTTTACTGCGGTCATGTTAGAATCGCAACAAATACTTGTAATATTTTGATTTTTAATTTTCTTTTTGATTAGTTTGCTGCGGGGAAAGGGAGAACCCCAGCAAATGCATTAACTTTTGCAACTTGCTGCAGTCATTCGTAAAACCTCATCAAATAACCTTTCACAATTTCAGAAGTTCCTCTTACCCTTTTGTCAAAACACTTCAAACTCTCCCAAAAGTTCAAAATCCCAGCCCCTCCCAGCAGCTTCCGGCCGACCGTAGCACCGCTCCTCGTCGCAGATGCAGCCGCTCCTGCATAGATAGACGCCCTCCTTGCGACTCCCAGACTCCCAGTCACATTTCTAACCCACGATCCGATTCCCGACCTCTCAACAGCCTTGCCAGCCAACCACGGCGCCTCGCAACTCCATCGGCCAACAAACCCCTCCGCCTCGCAACCGCATAGCCCAACAAACCCCGCTGTCTCGCAATTGCATCAACCAACCAACCTCACCGCCTCGCAACCTCATCAGCCGGCCAATCCTGCCGCCTCGCAACCGCATCACCCAACAAACCCTATCGCAACCCTCCTCGCTCCTTCACATAGCAAGGCCACCTCGTGCCTCGTTTTGATGTACTTCTTCTCTCTTTCAAGGTAAATTAAAAATCTCTTTACGATACATAATTACATGTTTTAAATGGTAATTAATGCTTTTCTTGTTTCAATTTCCACTAAAAAGGAATATTTCTATTTTCTGGTCCATTTGGCAAGGGTTAATTGAACAAATTGAATATGCTACCTTTCTGGAAAAAATGTTGGTAAAGCTGACCTGCATTTTGTGTATATTTTCTATGGGCATATGCATAGCTTGAAAGATGTCAATGGTCATGGCTCTACTTTTGGCAATATTTTTTTGGGTAGATCAAGAAGTTTTCTACTAAAACCTTTTGATTTTGGGCTTCATATAATTTTAGAGAAATCTTAAAGTTTCTTGGTTACTTGGTAAAAAGAAGTAAAAAATGAAAGAAGAGCATAAGAAGCAGAAGGAAGAAAAAGTGGTAGGTCCAAACAAGCCAAAAAATATATTGGAAGAATCCCTTTATACACACAAAATCTCTTACTTTAAAAAAAAAAAAACTCAAAATGAGTTCAAAGGTTAAAAGGTTAATCCAGTGATCTGGGATAGAAAACCTATTGTAAAAATATCTCAGGATACTTAAACGTTGTTAAGGAAATACAGCAGATAGAATCCACAACATTTTATTAACAACTCTCTTTAAAGCATCCTAAAAGGCTAAACACAGCCGGCAAGGACATGTAATAGGCTGTTACTCATTCATAACAGGCTTGTTCTCGCTTGCTTTAGGTCTGTGTTCCTTTGGCTTTTGCTCTTCAGTTTTCCTCTTATCGGGGCCGCCTCCCTTCTGGCTGAGGAATGAACTGAAGAGCAGCGAGTTCACATCGTAAATCATGGTCGTGAATCAGCTAAATTTACACAAAATCTCTTACTTATTTTGGTACTATTAACCATTACTACAGCCTAAGTATTTCATGCCATTTGCTGCTCTCTCACTGGAAATGAGTGACAAATGCTTTTCTCGTTTCATTTCCCTCTTTAATACTGCAAATCTGTGCTTCTGATTAATTTGATTTTTGTTTCATTATTATAATTGGCCTAAGAATTTTGATTTACTCAGCCGCCATTGGCACTACTTTCCCACAGGAATTGATGAGTTATGTGGTCACGGTCTTAGGGTGTGTGTACTCTAAACTTCTAAACTGATTAAATGTTGTTGTTTTGCAGTTTACTTTTTGAGAGATGTGCCGAGTGTGGGAAACTTTTGGCTAAAAGCAACTGCTAGAATTTGGATGAATGATTTTTTTAGTTGTAGAGACCAAACTGGTTGTAGTAAGTGTTGTGCCTACTTTTTTCCTGCACTTGTTGACATACTTCATGAATACTAAAGTATGGTACTGCATAAAAGACTGATAATCTTTATTCATAAATCTTGAGGAACTTGATAAAAATGTATATGTTCTGTTTAAGGGCCAAACTGTGAGGAACTATAGCCTCTCATTTGCTCAAGCTCTTTTAAATATTAGTCACGGTTTCATTGGCTCGTCCAGTATTCCTGCACTATTGCATTTCTATTTGTTATATTATATTTTTACATTCTGAAAAACGTGTTTCATAATATGGAATAGTTTTCAAGAGAGTGTCTGTTTTCCATATTTGGCATTATTAAATATTCTTCATAGTTTTAATCCTATTGATTTGATGCATCTTGTTCTTTATTTTTTTATACTTTCTACACGTGTTTCTCTATTTTTTGCTTTCAGTCGCAGTGATACTACTCCTGCACTTGGTGGTGTAATTTACCCTTCCAGGTTCCTTAGTTTTCTTTTAACTGTTTGTTTGAGTTTCTACCTGGACTGTACTTTTCAGGGAGCTTTTGGTACTTATAAACAGAGACTACTTTTGGAGTTTGTTTTTTATATTTTGCAGTAGATGTTTTTAAAGTTGTTGGTTACTTTGAACCCATATTCATATTATTAAAAAACTAGCTTTATTTCTGAAATACATGATATGGTCCTGTGCTTTACTCTCCATGAAATACTTTTTACTTCTCAAATATTTTGTCTTCCATTACTCTAAAAGTAGGAGATCACATCAGCCACTTTCCAAAATTAAAACGATTGTAACTTAAGATATCTCTCCAGCACCCTCACAGACCCATGGGCAGTGATGATTATATTGGGATAGTCCAGACGAAAGCAAATGTTACTTAATATATACATGCTTCTGGAGTTCTACTTATGAAAACCAAATAAGAGAATACTAATTATTGCTTTGGTATTTGCATTGTGGTAACTTTGTAATCATTTACTTGCTCTATATTTATTATTCACGATTATTGTGAATTTCGTACATTCTTAGATCTAAGCTATGGCAATTTTTAGAACTCGGGGCCTTGTGAAATTATCAGCAACATATTTAACCAAGGGTGAGAATCATCTTTTTTATGCAATGCTTTCACTCTGTCAAGGACAAACAAATTTATCTTAATTGTACCTGTTATTTCACATTTCCTAAATAATCTTGTGGGGGTCCTAGATTAATCGAATGAAAACTAGCAACATTTATAGGTGTACTAGATATATTATGTGATTATTATGTTTTCCAGGGTGGAATGAGAAAAATAAGGCCTAGCCATTCTCCTATTCATATCCTTGTATTTATATCATTTTCTACATAGATGGTCATAAATTAGTAGAAATATGGCAATGTTTGGACCCCTTTGTCTTCTCCTTATTTGGTAAGTTAATTTAGTTTCCCTGTCCTCTAAGTTACTAATTTTCATTTTTTAAAATGTTAATGATCTTTTCCAAAATATGCTACTGGTCATTGCATTTAAAGATTGAAGTGAATATATGATTAAAGCTCGGTCGTAACCAGCTATTGTTTCCACCTCCTGTGCAACACAAGACCCTCTCTCAGTTTCAACCTGTTCCCCCATTTCTTCTATAAATATGCTTACCTAGCTTGATAGCGGCTCTCTTTAGCTCCTCGCCTCTACTCCCCGTAAGTGCTCTTAACATTTGTTTACTGCCTGTTTATTCTTCCAGCTTGTTTTACTGCTTAAAGATCAGTTTGAATAGCCTTTTGTGAAACATAAATTTGTCGTTATATTAAGACTTGCATGTCTGAACAGAATGGAGCTACACTAAGTCTTGCAATTCAAATTCCACATATATAACTCCATATATAAGTATGGATGCGACCAGTCTAACAAACCATAAATATCCCTAATAAAATCCCCCCGCCATCCCTCTACAAAATATCCTGGTCATGATGATGATAAAGGGTCTGCTGCGATATAATAGTCATTGGAGGCAGCGAGCAAATGACATTTAAATTTTGTTATTGAAAATTTGAAATGAATTAGAAGTCGTCAAATTTGGTTAGATCAATATTAGCTATTGAAGGCTTTAAAGTTTAAACATTGCAAGCTGCTAGTGCTAAATGCTATATATATGTATCAGGTAAATGTTTAATACGTAGTACTATATCATATTGTTATCGTTTTTTTTTCTAACTATTATTTAAAATGTTTAATATTTCAGGTCTATCAAAGTACCAAAAGAGCCTTTTTGAGTGATGAACTCATGAAATATTTGAAGTTTGTGAGGAATTGACCATATAAGTGATATTTTTTTTGTAAACTTTAGTGACGACTGACGATAGACTTACAAAAAGAATGAAAGTTTGTATTGTATTCATTTTGAACTTTGGCGATGTATAACTCAATATTTTTGGGATTATGTTTCTGATTTTTGTTGATGTGATACTAAGTTTGTAGAAATAACTTTTTCTTATTCTGTAAAATAGTTTTATTTTGGTCTAAAATACTAGCTTTGTAATTTTAATAGTAGTCCAAAACAACAAAAAACATATGCCAATTTTTAGAAGTATTTGCTGCGGTTTGGAACCGCAACACTAAGTCACAATTAATTTTTTTTTAAATAGCTATTTGCTACGGTTCGGAACCGTAGCCATTAGTGGTCGACTCGGGCCGGGCCTAGGCCCGGTCGGGCCGCCGGTTTGTATGACATGGGTCCGGGACCGGCCTGAGGGTTGGACGGGTCCGGTTCGAGCCGGGCCACCCGCCCGGGTCACGGGTCGTGCCACCCGCCGGGTTGGGCCGGGCCGGTTAAAGATTTTTTTTTTATAATTTATATTTTATAGTTTATAGTTTTATACAAGTATTAAAAACAAACTTCAAGTGCATTTATTTGAAATGAAATAGGAACTACATTTGAAAATTAAAACAAACTTCAAGAGACAAACATTTTGTAAATTGTAATCAATCGGAACTTCCCGCACCTCCCGATCCTTTGGCTTTGTCACATGACTTCATATGCTTCATTGCCATCCCGTATCCGTTTGAAATCCCTATGCTACATTTTTCCCCGCACCATTTACAAGTTGCGTACCACATCCCGGTCTTCGGGTCCTTCTGCTTATCAAAATTATACCGTATAACGGTATCTTGATTTTCCATCTTAAGTATAAAGTAGATATATAAATAATAAATTAGTAGAGAATAGAGATTAGAGAGTAGGAATATTTGGAGAAGATGTGTAGTAAATTGTATAGAAAAAATGGAGTATTTACAGTATTTTTGTACCCCTACCCCCCCACCCCCCTAACCTACCCCTGGACCCCAGGAAGGCTCCCAACGGCTATATAGCCGTTTGGGTTCAATCACAACGGCTCTAAGGGTCTGTTTGGTAGCCAAAAGTTTTTTTTTTTAAAATATAGCCGTTGGCCCGAACCGGCCGGGCCGGGCCTTCCTTTTTGTGAACCGTGCCCGAACCGCTAGCCTACCCCGGGCCGGGTAAAAGCCCGCACCGCCCATTCCGTAACCGGGCCGGGCCGGGCCCGCACAGTGGCGGGCCGACCCGGTTTGGTCCATCCCTAGCAACAATAAGTCAAATTTCATTTTTTTAAAAAAAGTTATTTGCTGCGGTTCGGAACCGCAGCAAATACAAATAGCTAAAAATAACCGCATCAAATAGCTATTTTTCTAGTAGTGTATTGAAATAATTTATACTTAATTTCAAGTACATTTTTACGTTCGGGTGGATTAGTGAATATATTTTGATTGAGTGAGTGGGTTTGTATTTTACCAAACTATTTATTAATGTGTTGTTGGCTGACCATGTTTACTTGGTTGAACATTTTTCACTCCTACAAATATTAGCTACTTTTCGATTTATTTATGCTAACAAATATTTTAATTAACTAGTACTTGAAATTTAATTTCTTATTACTTTTAGGTGTACAAGAATACTTCAAGAGATGAGTCGTTGTCAATTGATGAAATCGGTGACGTTCGAGATGTATGGATCATCTATAACATTTTGTAAACTTTATACTAGCTACTAGCTAGACATGTCATGCAAGTATTTTATAATTAAACTTTTTATCGTATTGGATGTGTTTGGTGATTTTTGTTCTCAACAAGTAACATTATTGGCACTTCGTTAAATGATACTCCGTATGAAAGACTTGTGACTTTGATATGGACAGGGTCTGTTTTGGTACAATGGATATTAGTCGTGCATTTTTTTGTATTAAAAGAAATTTGGGTGTAATGCTCACAATTAAAAATTCACATTTGCGGCGGTTCTATTTACCCGCAGCAAATAAGTTAAAAAAAATTCAACTATTTGTTGTGGTTCCTGGATACACGCAACAATAAAGTAATAAAAAAATTAAACTGACCTATTTGTTGCGATCTGAACCGTAGCAAATATAAATTCATACAATTGCTGCCCCCTTAATTGTTGTGGTTCGGAATCGCAGCAAATGCCCAAAAATAACCGCATCAAATGTGATTTTTTCTAGTAGTGTATACACACTTTTGGTGTAATATTTTATTTTTCTAGATAGTTGTAATTTGTTTAGATTAGGAGTATTCTGAGATTAAAGCAAGTCAAGGTCATCCAAGGGATCAAGAATGGACCCTAAAAGCCCAAATAATGTGCAAAGGGATAATACAAAATGATGATTTGGAGAATTGTTCATATATGTGGTCGAGTATATGTCATACTCGATTGGGCATTGGTCGGATTAATATGTAAAAATCAAATCCGGAGAACAAAGCAACATGAAGGATATTTTTTACAAGATTTGTCTTATACCCTGTCAGGTAGACCGACATACCCGATCGGGTATGGTGTGAAATGTGAAGCTTTCGGGCCACCACCAAGGATACCCAATCGGGTATTGTAATACCCGAGATTAATATAAGAGGATTAATAGTACTACTCATACCAACAGAGGTGCATCTCCTTTTAAGGGAGCTCATCACCCAAGAACTCTAAAGTTAAGCGTGCTTGCACGAGAGTAGTCTTGGGATGGGTGACCCCCTGGGAAGTTTCTCAGGGCGCGCATGAGTGAGGACAAAATGCGCGGTAAAGGCTCGTGATGGTTTGTGAGGACAGTACTATAGGTCAGAAGTAACTACCTCGGGGCCTGCGAGACCGGGGTGTTACAGGTATCCTATATACTCGGTCGGGTATCTGACCCTGTCACCTCCAAGGCTCCAATAGCCTATAAATAGGGGCGAGGCACGTAGTAGGTTAAGGGGGGCCTTCCCCCACCCCACCCCTTAATTTTTTTAAATAATACTATACGAAATTATTTGGGGCCCTCCCAAAAATTTATGAAGGCAAGAAAAGCCGTAAGTCTCTATATTTTAAATTTTATATTTTAAATTTTATATTCGGGAGATTTGCGATTTAGTCCTGTAATTTTGGTTGTTCCTATTATTAGTCTCGTAACTTTACTCGCATGCTGATTAGGTCCTCTAACTAATAGGTCTTTGCAGTTTAAGAAATTTTGCATCGGAAAGTACACTTTCTGGCAATAAAATTTGACATTGCCAACATATTTTGCGGTGAATTATCGGTAGGAAAGTGTACTTTATGGTGGGGAAGTACTTAAATTGCAAAAAAATATTTATTACATGATCAATGTTACGAGCAAGTGAAGTATCAGGATTAAAAATGGACACATAATAAATTTATGGGACCAAAGTTGCAAATTTCCCTTCACATTTTAATACTTGTATTCTATTCCGGCTCCCTTTTAGTGAAGTCCGCCTCCGCTCCTATCTACAAATACCCTATATAATCGATCGGGTAGTGCACTGATGAGTGCCATTTGGTGAGGCAATGGTCCAGAAGATAAGTCTATTGTTATCTTTACTACCTATACATACCAAAACATATAGAGGTATTTTGAGTTTGCACCCCATTTTATTGTCGAAATTAGACCTTGCACCCCGTTTTTGAAATCTTTAGTATTTGCACCCAACCCCATATGAAAAGACTAAAATGCCCCTCAATTAACAATTTTGGTGGCCTTCAACATAATCCTGATCGAGGGGCATTTTTGTCTTTTCATACGAGGTTGGGGTGCAAATACTAATGATTTCAAAAACAGGGTGTAAAGTCTAATTTGGATAATAAAATGATGTGCAAACTCAAATTATTCCAAACATATATGAGCTGTTTACACAAGTGGGATTTAAATGAACAATAAGTGAATTTTTAAATGAACAATAAGTGAATATTTCAACTCAATAAACCAGGTGATAGGTTATATTCTAGAGAGAAGTGAGAGCTAGAGAGAGAAGTGCAAGTAAATGCTTCAATAAATGATTTTTTCAACCCCTACAACTACCTCCAGAGGAAGTATTTATAGGAAAAATACGGGCTGGGCTCCCAAGCCTTGGGCTTGGGAGGCCCATTTACAACTGGACCGCTATTGGGCCGAATACAAAGTAAATGATGGAGTATACAAATGAGTAAGTGTAAAATCCGGTTCTGGGAGTTCTTTGTGGCCAACGAGGGTCTGGCCGATGAGTGCATGGCCGACGAAGACCCGGCCGACGAGGTCACCCGGTTCTTCTGGCTTCCGGATCATGTCCTGGGTTGACTTCGTTCCGGCCGATGAGGGTCACCTGGCCGATGAGGGTCCCATTGGGTGACAGTTGTGCCTTCTGTTCTCCTGAGTATGTGGGTCCTGGGGCCTAGACCCATATACTCCATCAGGAGTCCCCCACTCTCTAAGCTGAGATGTAGACGAAGTGAAGGAGAGTAGATTCGTGTTCTTTTTATGCTTGGCCGTTGCGTGTCCCCTGTTGTGGACGGGAGAGATCCTAGCCATGCGGATGGTACGTGTTCCTTGCTCTCTAGGACGATGAATACCCTTGCTTGATGGGGGCGGTGAAGGTCCGCAGTTGTGAATGGCCGATATGTGTCTTTGGCATGAGTGGCCGATGAGGACATTCTTACCTTTTCACGATCTTCGGTGGCTGAATTTTGTTTTTGGGCTGAGGAGGCCACTGCGGTTGCGTCTTACTTGAGGACGATGAGCGTCCTTTGCCTTGAGTGGCCGTTGAGGGCGCTGTTTACTCCTTCTTGCCGTTGTTGATTGAATTTCGTACTTTTGACCGAGGAGGCCATTGTGGCTATCTCTTGTTGGAGGGCGATGAGCGTCCTTTGTCTTGAGTGGTCGTTGAGGGCGTTGTTCACTCCTTCTGGCCGTTGTTGATCACTTACTGTGCGCTTAGCCGGGTCGGTGTGTGGTGGTTAGTTGCCCAAGGTCTTGGGGACGATGAGCGTGTTGCGCTTTTGCCCTGGCCGGAGATGGCACTTACAGGGACCTTGAAGCCGTTGTGATGCATAGCCGATATGATTACATTTGTAGTTGTGTACTTGTGTATTTTTGACTCTTTCCATTTTTGCGTTTTGAGGCCGGTGTAGTCCCCGAGTCCCCCACTGCTTCATGCCGAAGA